CCCAAGAAGTGCCCAGGCTGCCCCAACAACTGCACCTGAAGCCAAAGGAACCAGACTTCTTTTCCTGGTAGAAGGAGCTGCTGTTCCCTTTTTTTAGCCCTGCGGTGCAGTGGCCTGTCCCACCTCCTGGAAAATTGAAAGTAAATTAAGATTCGTGCCAGAAAAAGTGCCACCACAGAAAGCTCTTGCTACCCAAGAAATGCCCAGTCTTTCCCACACAGTGCACCTGAAACCCAAAGCTTCCTAACATTTTTCCTGGGGGAAAGGGCTACTGTTCCCTTTTTTCAGCCCTGCGCTGCAATGGCCGGTCCCACCTCCTGAAAAATTGAATGCAAATGAAGATTTGTGCCAGACAAAAGGTGCCACCACAGAAGGTTCTTGCTGCCCCAGAAGTGCCCAGGCTGCCCCAACAACTGCACCTCAAAGCCAAAGGTTCAAGAATTTCTTTCCGGAGGGAAAGAGCTGCTGTTCCCTTTTTTAAGCCCTGCGCTGCAATGACCTCTCCGAGTTCCTGAAAAATTGAATGCAACTGAAGGTTCCTGCCAGACAAAAGGTGCCATCACAGAAAGCTCTTGCTGCCCAAGAAGTGCCCAGGCTGCCCCAATACTGCACCTCAAAGCCAAAGCATCCAGACTTTTTTTCCTGGTGGAAAGAGCTGCTGTTCCCTCTTTTCAGCCCTGCTCTGCAATGGCCGGTCCCACCTCCTGAAAAATTGAATGCAAATGAAGATTTGTGCCAGACAAAAGGTGCTACCACAGGAAGTTCTTGCTCCCCAAGAAGTGGCCAGGCTTCACCAACAACTGCACCTCAAAGACAAAGCATCCAGACTATTTTTCCTGGAGGAAAGAGTTGCTATTCCCTTTTTTCAGCCCTCCCGGAAATGTTTGTTTCCAACTCCCCAAAATTGAAGACAAATGAAAATTCCTGTCACACAAAAGGTGGCACCACAGAAAGCTTTTACTGTCCAGGCAGTTCCCATGCTGCCCTACCAACTGCACCTCAAAGCCAAAGGATCCAGACTTTTTTTCCTGGTGGAAAGAGCTGCTGTTTCCTTTTTTCTGCCCTGCACTGCAATGGCCGGTCCGAGCTTTTAGAAAAATTGAAGGCAACTGAAGATTCCTGCCAGACAAAAGATTCCACCACAGAAATCTCTTTGCTGTCCAAGAATGCCCAGGCTGCCCCAACAACTGCACCTCAAAGCCAAAGCTTCCAGACTTTTTTTCCTGGTGGAAAGAGCTGCTGTTCCCTTTTTTCAGCTCTGCGCTGCAATGGCCTGTCCCACATCCTGAAATATTTACTCCAGATGAAGATTCCTCCAGACAAAAGGTGCCACCACGGAAAGGTATTCCTACCCAAGAAGTACCCAGGCTGCACCAACTGCACCTGATGCCAAAGCTTCCAGACTTCTTTTCCTGGTGGAGACGAAGAGCTGCGTTCCCATTTTCAAGCTCTGCGCTGAATGGCCTGTCCCACCTCCTGAAATATTTACTCCAAATGAAGATTCCTCCAGATAAAAGGTGCCACCACAGAAAGGTATTCCTACCCAAGAAGTACCCAGGCTGCACCAACTGCACCTGATGCCAAAGCTTCCAGACTTCTTTTCCTGGTGGAAAGTGCTGCTGTTCCCTTTTTTCAGCTCTGCGCTGCAATGACCTGTCCCACCTCCTGAAATATTTACTCCAAATGAGGAGTCCTGCCAGAGAAAAGGTGCCACCACAGAAGGTTCTTGCTGCCCAAGAAGTGCCCAGGCTGCCCCAACAACTGCACCTCAAAGACAAATCTTCCAGACTTTTTTCCTGGTGGAAAGAGCTGCTGTTCCCTTTTTTCAGCCCTGGGCTGCAATGGCCTGTCCCACCTCCTGAAAAATTTACGCCAGCTGAAGATTCCTGCCAGAAAAAAGGTGCCACCACAGAAAACTCTTGCTGCCCAAGAAGTGCCCAGGCTACCCCACCAACAGTGCCTCCAAGCCAAAGCTGCCAGTCTCTTTTTCCTGGGGGAAAGGGCTGCTAATTCCCCTTTTTTTTAGCCCTGTCCTGCATACGCCAAACTAACTCCCAACATAGACTCCAGCTGAAGATTCCTGCCAGATAAAAGGTGCCACCACAGAAAGTTCCTGCTGCCCAAGAAGTGCCCAGGCTGCCCCACCAACAGTGCCTCCAAGCCAAAGCTTCCAGTCTTTTTTTCCTGGAGGAAAGGGCTCCTAATTCCTTTTTTTTTAGCCCTGTCCTGCATAGGCCAAAGTAACTCCTGAAACAGACTCTAGCTGAAGATTCCTGCCAGACAAAAGGTGCCACGATAGAAAGCTCTTGCTGCCCAAGAAGTACCCAGGCTGCCCGAACAACTGCACCTCCAAGTCAAAGCTTCCAGACTTTTTTTCCTCATGGAAAGAGCTGCTAATTCTTTTTTTCAGCCCTGCACTGCAATGGCCTCCTGAAAAATTGAATCCAAATGAAGATTCCAGCCAGACAAAAGGTGCCACCACAGAATTATCTTTGCTGCCCAAGAACTGCCCAGGCTGCACCAACAACTGCACCTGAAACCAAAACTTCCAGACTTTTTTTCCTGGTGGAAAGAGCTGCTGTTCCCTTTTTTTCAGCCCTGCTCTGGAATAACCAGTCCCACCTTCTGGATAATTGAATCCAAATGAAGATTCCTACCAGACAAAAGGTGCCACCAATAAAGCTCTTGCTGCCCAAGAAGTACCCAGGCTGCTCCAAAAACTGCACCTCAAAGCCAAAGCCTCCAGACTTCTTTTCCTGGTGGAAAGAGCTGCTGTTCCCTTTTTTCAGCCCTGCTCTGCAATGACCTGTCCCACCTCCTGGAAAATTGAATGTAAATGAAGATTCGTGCCAGACAAAAGGTGCCAGCACAGAAAGTTCTTGCTGCCCAAGAAGTGCCCAGGCTGCCCCACCAACAGCACCTGAAGCCAAGGGATCCAGACTTTCTTTGCTGGGGGAAAGGGCTGCTAATTCCCTTTTTTTTAGTCCTGTCCTGCATGGGCCAAAGTAACTCCTGAAATAGACTCCAGCTGAAGATTCCTGCCAGACAAAAGGTGCCACCACAGAAAGATCTTTGCTGCCCAAGAAGTGCCCACGCTACCCCACCAACTGCACCTCCAAGCAAAAGCTTCCAGACTTTTTTTCCTCATGGAAAGAGCTTCTGTTCCCTTTTTTATACCCTGCACTGCAATGACCTGTCCCACCTCCTGGAAAATTGAATGTAAATGAAGATTCCTGCCAGACAAAAGGTGCCACCACAGAAAGTTCTTCCTCCCCAAGAAGTGCCCAGGCTGCCCCACCAACAGTGCCTCCAAACCCAAGCTGCCAGTCTTTTTTTCCTGGGGGAAGGGGCTGCTAATTCCCTTTTTTTTAGCCCTCTCCTGCATAGGCCAAAGTAACTCCTGAAATAGACTCTAGCTGAAGATTCCTGCCAGGCAAAAGGTGCCACCACAGAAAGCTCTTGCTGCCCAAGAAGTGCCCAGGCTGCCCCAACAACTGCACCTCCAAGTTAAAGCTTCCAGACTTTTTTTCCTCATGGAGAGAGCTGCTGTTCCCTTTTTGCAGCCCTGCTCTGGAATGACCTGTCCCACCTCCTGGAAAATTGAATCCAAATGAAGATTTCTGCCAGACAAAAGGTGTCACCACAGAAAGTTCCTGCTACCCAAGAAGTACCCAGGCTGCATCTACAAGGGAACGACGGACCTTCCACCCAGGAAAGAAAGCCCTTACCCTACATCTCTCATGTGCAGTTGGTGGGCCAATTTTGGTATTCTGTGGGCATAAAGAGCTTTCTGTCCTGGTACCTTTTGTCCTGGAGGAATCTTGGTATTCGATTGTGGGAGTGTCCCTGCCCGAAGGAAAGAACCCTTTTGCAATTATTACATTCACAGCTGGAAGTGCCAACAGTTTGTTCCACCAAAGCAAGCTGTGCAGCCCTCCAGTGCCTGTGTAGGATGTGCCTGGGAGATAAATGCAGGCAGGAATGTCTTTCCTCCACACTTCCACCTATGGATCAGTTTGCTGGACAGCCTACACAGGGCTTGGGCATGCTGTGCTGCCCTCAGGGCTTCTGCTGCTGCAGATCTTGCAGGAAATTTGTAAGAGGGAACTGGTTTGGGTCAAGAAGTATTTGGGAATTTTTTCTGTTGTTGGCTGAGGATTCACTGTTGGCTACACAAATACTTGTAAGGCAGATAAAAAATAATGTGACAACAATGATGTTATATTCATGTGAAAAGTTTAGGATACATGTTACACATCTGGAGCAATTAGATGGGATCTTCTTGGGCAATCTGGAAGATCTGTGCAGGATGCCTCCACAATGGCAGTGCAGGAAACAGGCCGTGATGGTATATTTTCATATATATCTACATTACACATTTGCTCAGCTTGAGGTCTAATGTGCTGTTGCTGTTACCAAAGCCTGTGTGTTTCCAGTATTGTCATTCCTGGTATGGATCTGCTTTCCATGGCAGGATTTCCTGGAAGAGTATCAAAGCTGTCTTAGCTCTGATACATTTTCTGGCAGCCAACTGTCTGCCCAAGTACCCACTTACTCCAGGAGATTCCAGTCACCCAGTGTGCAGTGTGCACCAGCTTCCCCAGCTCTGGAACTGGGACCTTGGCAAATGCAACTCTTTGAAAAAGCAAGAGACATCATCATGCTATGAGCAAACAAGTTGGGACCAGGAAAAATAAATACAGAAAAAAAAATAAAGTAAGTAAATATAAATAAATAAACCAGAGAGACATTGAGGCTTTCAAATTTATTCCCATTTCCTTGACCAATAAACTTGACCAAGCAGTGACCAAGCATTTACCTTGTGACATTTTTTTTGCCACCACAAGTGATCCCTTTGAACTGACTTTCCAAATAAAAACTCAGTTCATTAAATGACAGACAAACCCAGTGAATGTAAGTGGAAAACACTTCTTATTTGGGAAAGTGGCAAAAGTAATCTTGATTCTTTTTTGGAGCTGTGAACACTTTCTATCTGTGTCCCTGAACATTCTTGATTCAAACTCCTTAGCCTGAACCTAAGGATGTTTCCATGCAGGATTCATCTGAGACCGACAGGATTCCTGCGTACGTCTGTTTTGGCACAGCTGATTCCTTTTATTCCCGTGTGTCTCAGTGTTCCAGGTCCCTGGACCTGTGCTGAGGATCACTGCTGCAAACAGGCATGTGCAGCTTCTCCTCACCTTAATATTCAACCTCAAGCCAAAGGGAGAAGGAGGGGGGGCAAAACCCCAAACTCATGTGCAACATAAAGCAGAACCAGATTCTGCTGAAGATGTGTTTGGCTTGTTCTCCTGACAAAGTTTTCTAAAATCTCTCTCTCTCAAAGCCTGTGTTCATCACACAGGCAGTTCTGCAGGAAGCAGGTGATTACAGCAGGTCTGTGTGAGGCAGAGGTGTGTGGGTGTCACATGAAGGGCACAGCTTGTGCCAGGGATGCTGCTCATCCACCCGGGAGGTGGCTGTAAGACATTGGGTTTGGGACATTGTTCCTGTGCTGCCTCAGGGACTAGGGAGCAAATTTTCTCCAAAATAAAGGTCCCATGAGGAGTCATGGACAGCTGACAAGGGTGAGGGGTTTTTCTTGAGGTGTTGACGATTTACAACCTACAAAGCCCCATCAACCTTGCTTCTTGCTTTCTCCTCGTCCCTACTCCACTGCTTAACCATATTTTCCCCCCTGGTTACCATCTGAGGACAGAGGCTTCTGAGGTGCACACAGGTTGCCCAGGTTGCAGCAAGTGAAACAAGGATAGGAGATATCTGAAGGTGATTGGTGCCAATTCCTACAAAAATGGACCACAAGTGGAGAACAAACAGAAAGGTTGATTGAAGAGGAATGGTTTAATGTAGATAGAGACTGGATAATACCTCAGGTGGGAGCTGCTGTCTGCTCAGGTGTGTGACAAAGGGCTCCCTTAGTGACCAAACTGCTTCTATGCTACTACAGCAGGAACTTATGCATGGGATTGCCCCAGTGAAGCACTGCACAGTCCAGCTGAAAAAGAACCAGACGTGAAAGTTTTTCATCAGCAGTTTTGCTGCTAACCAAACCAGCCCAGGTTCGAGGCAGAAGTCTGTTCTGGAAACTTCTAACCCTTTCCTCTACTGCTGTTGCATTGTTTTCAAAGTATGATTCTACCCTCATACGCAAAATAACGTCTCGCTTACAAGGATTTTTGCTCATATGTACAAACCCCAGTAAAGAAAGTTGAACACAATATATACACTGGGAAATATAATCCTGGAATACGTGTCAATGACGTGATTGTTCTGTAAAATAATCCTGCCCACGTTTCCCTTCAGAGATTTCTTTAGGCGAGTTGGTTCCTCATTGGAGATGTTGGTTTCGCTCGTCCGAGTCTCATTCTCCTCACAGGGGTCTGAGAAACCAGACAGGTCCATGTCATCCGTGTCATGAAAGCAGCCGTCAAAAGCCATGGCTTGCACTGCATCCATATACACTCCTGAGGCCTGGCAACAAAGAATAGTTAGCCTGTGTCTACAGGAGACATTTCAGTAAATTATAAACAAATAAAAGAGGAAGTAAAGAAAGCTTTCATTGTTGTTCCCTCTTAGAGAGCATATGGAGAAGAGGGTTACCTCCCAGTATGGCAGTCTGTGGGCAGGACGTGAGCAAGGAAGGAGGTACACGTGATAAAATACTCCTGTCTGACTGATTATTGCCAGCTGCTGGCTGGCAATACGTGCCCCAGCTTCTGAAACAGAAGAGTCAAACTCTCTCCTGTAGGTCTGCACTGCTGGAGCTGTGGGAAATGACTTCAAACATTTCCATCAGATCATATGAGCAACACATGCACCCTTTCTGTGGTTTTCCCCTTGTGATATTCCAGCAAATGAGTTTACATGGGGAGATATTCTTGAAGCAAAGGTTTAAGCGAGCGCTTCACAGAAAGCAGATGTTTAACTTGGAACCATTTCTGCTTCAGGCACACTTTTCTAAAAATGACCTTGTCTTGGGACAAAAAGGCATCATTAAACCCACCTTTCCAATTGAAAATGGCAAAGCAGGAAGAGGAGAAATGGACTCTGCTTCACAGAAAACAAGAAGGAATATCACATGAGTGCATTCTGGGGTCTGTTTCAGAGACAGGCAAAATGCTTTTTTAATATTTTAGATTTGGAATTGAGATAGGTATTTGAGAACAGAAGGAAGGTTACCTTATTCTGAGGGGGAAAAAAGGGAGAAAAAAAATCAGGAAGTGAGTATTCCCTAATATCTGCTAAAAGAAAAGGAAGGAGAAAAAAGCACAGGGCTTCTCAGGATCTCAGAGAGAATGATACATTTCCTCCCTTCAACCAAGTCAAAAAAAGGTGAGATATGGAGTGACACAGAGATAGTTACTGTTGTTATCACAGTGGTGTATGGGGATTACTCTGTGGCTTCTATGGTGCTTTCTGAAGGCAACAAAACACAGAGGACTGTACCTTGCCCCTTTTTTTGAGTTGCTTTCTCTCTTCAATCGTGGTAAGATAGTTCACTGCTGCATATTCAATGACGGACAGGAAGACAAAAAGGAAGCTGATCCACAAATACACATCCACAGCCTTTATGTAAGACACTTGAGGCATTGAGGCACTTACTCCTGTCATGATGGTTGACATTGTCAGCACTGTAGTTATACCTGCCAAAGAAAGAGTTATCCTAACACTGACCAGCTGGTTCTGTGCAGCTCATCACCGTCCCTTGGACAGCTCAGCTTTGTGAGGGCGTACGACTGACACCGCCTTTAACTTCATCACACAGCTCTGAGAAGTGGAGTGAACCATGAAGGACCCATCACAAGCAATACTGAAACCAGTAAATCATCCCTCTGCTCAGTGCATGCAGTTAGAACTGCAGCACAGCAGGGAAACAAGGATGGTGTTTGAGCAGCATAAGGAGCACATTTCTGTGGCAGCTTTGGGCACCGCTGTGGAGAAGTGAAAGCAGGTGTTTGTGGGCTTCCCTCACTTCCCAGAGCCAGGGTCACCACTGCACACTTTCTTGTCCAGAAGAATCCCTAAACAATCACCAATTCCCCCCCCCCCCCAATCCTTTCTCAAATTGTACTTTTTGAGAACATTTACCAGCTTGTATGTCTCGGTCATAACTCCTTGGCTCTCTGAAAACAATCACCAGAACAATGCTACATCCATTGAAACTAAGAAAAAAATTACTGTTTGCTTCAGTGTGACCAGAATTTCACTCTCATCTTTTCGATCTCTCCTCTTACCTGAGCTATTCCTCTCATTTTGGTTTGCTCCACCTCGTAAAAAAAAACCCAACACCTTACTCAGGCCCTGCTTTTAAAGAAAGGAACGTGACACTGGAAGTGAAGACATCTCAAGTGAGACAGCCCTGGCCTGTCAGCTGGGTCTCAAAGCAGCCCTTCTCCAGTTCTACACTAGTTCAAGTCCACTGGAACACACAAAAGTTTTCCCTCTCCCTCTTTCCTTAGGTTAAAAGGTGGAGTTTGAAATATATACCATATAAGAGGAAATCAATTTATTTAATTGATACTCTAGGCTTGGGAGCTAAGCTTTTTAAAATTTGTTGTTAACATTGCCTATAAATTATTTACACTTACACTAATGAAGTGTGCTTTATTCATAGAACTCCTGATGAATAACCTTCTGCAGAAATCCATATATAAAGAACATGATCAGCAAAACCATCTTGTCAACATTAAAAATGACCTACTGAGATTTAAAAAGTTGTTTTTAAAGGCGAAGTTAAATTTCTTATAAATAAAAGGAATTAGCAGATGCATTAATAAAAGTAGGAAGGAGGTACCATAATTTGTTTTCAGATTAACAAACAGATTTATATCCCATGTATTAATAGCTTTACTGTGCCAATACAAAAGGGATCTGAGGTACCTACAGTCCCATTTTTTCTAGACTGAGAAAGCTATAGATAAAAATAGAGGGCTTTTTCACTTATCTAAGAAATATGACAACATACAGTTGGCTTCTGGAACCAGCACCAGTGAGAAGAAAGTACAGGAGCTTCTTTACTAGTTATTAAACTAAGAGTTGCAGGACTCAGATATATTATGGTTACATTAGATATCTTAGCAAATTTCCATCAGATCTTCAGAGATGATTCTTTCAGAATTTTTGGAAAAATATACTCATTCCAAGGCCATCAGAATTAAATTCCCAACAAAGGCAGTCTTGAAGTGGCATTCACTGAAAAAAAACAATAAACTTCTAGAAAAAACCCACTGTAATTGGTCCTTTTCTCCTGAGCTGAGGTGTTCAGAACTAAAACTGTGAGAGCAGAAGGATGCCCAACTTATTCTTTGGCTTCCACAGAAGACTGTGCCTTGCACAGTTAAGACATCAAATATTTTTAAGGTGCCCAACAAAGGAAGGCTTTGCTACAACGGGCAACTGGTTCTAACTTGGCAGGAAGATAAGAAATGTTTCTAGATAAAAAAAAAGAGCTGCAGAGCTTTTAGACAGATTGTGCTATGCCTAACGAACCATGGATTTGGGAAGGGATCTGACTACCTGTTTGCTGGGAAAAGGGAAGGAAAAAAACCAGGTTTTGCAATTAAGTAAAATTCTACATCAGGAAGTCTGCAGAATCATCCCTTTTTGCTTCTGTGGTGTGTGAGCTGTTTTCTAATGTAACAAAGCCAGTCTGAACAAACATTCCATTTCCAAACGTAGGGGTTGACTAAAGGTAGTGACAACAGTGGCAATAATAGTGTTGTTGAGGCAATTACCTGATATACTTGCTTATGTCCTGTGTAAATAAGAAGCTAAAGTAACTTCAAAGCCTCTCCCCCCTCCATTCCACACTTCCCAAAGAATATCCATTAAAGATTCACCTAGTGATACCCTGGCAGGAACAGCTCTTCTGTCAATCCAAAATGAAACCCAAGACAGCATCACCATCAGCATGGCTGGGAAATAGGACTGTAGCACAAAAAAGAAAATGTGTCTCCGGAGGGCAAAGTTGATAAAAAGTCGATTGTACCAACCTATTGAAAAAAAAAGAGAGAGGAATAGAGTGGGGAGGAAGAGAAGAGAGTTGTGTTATTTGTGAGCTGTTTGCTGGCCCCCTCCCTCCAGCAGGAGCAGTGTATCCACATCAGGAACAGTAAATGCCTAAGAAAACTTTTCACCACCTTAGTTTTACACAGTGCTTTGCAAACTGCCCTCTGTACCTCATTAAAACACTGCTGCCTTGGGAGTGAAGCATCACGACCACACACATAAAATACTGTTATAACTGAGGTTAGGAAATGGGAAAGATTAAACCGACTTCAGGTGAAACTGCCAGGAGAACACACACAGGATATAATTTCCCAACGAAGCCAACACCCTGCCTCCTCCAAAAAGCATCCTGCCTTCTCTCACGCTGCAAATACCCCGCAAGCAGCAGCCCCCCCGTTTCCCTCGGTCGGAGCAACTTGCCATCGCAGTGCTGACTTTAGAGGAGAGGGTGCCATCTAGTGAATTTTGAGGCGTGCTCTGCCTTTGCAGCACAGCTTGTGTGCTGTACCTCCTGCCACAGCAGGGAAACCGATATAAAAGCGAGGTGAAAATAAGGCAAAAAGTGGGTGGCTGCCTGTCCAGGACATCCATGAGCCCATGCTGGAGCAGTCACACCATTACAACGAGTGACTTTATAGAAAAGAATATGTCGAAATTAACCCCAAATAATATTAAACACACTGTTGTGTTTTCAGTTGTGAAGAAAGTTTTTTGTTTGAAAAATCTCTAAAGTGGATTTAATTGTTGCTCCTTTGGAGCCAGGGAACTCCAAAAGCCTGAAACTACACTGAGATTCACAGGAAAGGATGTGTGGAACCTGAAATGCAAAAAGCTGCTTTATGAGCAGCATTTTTGTCCATTTTTTTCAAGAGATTTTAGGGGGAGATGACTCACATTAGAGTTGTGCCAGTTGTTCCCCACTACTATTTACTTGGAGGGTAAGTTTTCTTCCAACAAAAAGCAAAGTAAAAGAGCAAGAGAAAGTGGAACTTCCTGAGCAAAACAAAACCTCAAAGCCAAAGAAAAGCTTAAGTCTACAAAGGACAGCATTCTAACAGATATGCTACTAAGCATTATTCAGGTGATTCCCAGTGGTCTCTGCAACTTAAAGGCGAAAGGAAAGACATTTTTTATGTTGCTGAGTTGAGGTCATCATCAAAACATTTGCATGTGAGTGTTAAGCAGTTACACCTTGTGAAGTCAAAGCTGCTGCAAAGCCCTGGGCACCAGGGCACTGTGAGGGTGCACTGCTGAGCATGAGGCTGTATCTGCTTGCCTAAGTGTTTTTTGATGAGAATGGCAAGGCAGAGAGAAGCCAGCTGAGTTCCCAGAACCCAGTTTGAACACACAGTGACAGCAGTCTGGTGGAAACATCCCAGTCTCCCTCTTGCAACAAAGACAAATGTGATGTCACTCTCAGCAAGGCACAGTTATCGTGGTCAGGTGTCGCTTGCCTCTTCTCACAGGGCAGTGGCTCTGGAGAGCTGCAGCTCTGTTCTCAGCTCATACAGGAGTAAGAGATAGAGATAAGGAAGAAGAACGTGATCAAGCTGTGAATTCCTCATTGCTTAGGCTGCATCACAATTTAAACTGGAATTTCTGCACTCAGTGTCACCCACCGCCACCTCCACTGGCTCTTTTTGAAATGCAAAAAGAAGCCAACCTCTAAATAAAATACAGTCAATAAATCTATTTGCTGCTTTCCTGTATGGCTTAAAGGCTTTTTTTTTTCCCCAAAGTGTTATCCACTTCATTTTATTACATGGAATAATTTCTATTTTATGAATTTGTCTTGATATAAAGGGCAATATCCAAGCTGAAATGAATTGACTCAGACTAGGATGGGCAGTAGCAAGCATGCTATTTTCTCTGGTTAAAAATATGTGGTTAGACTACTTACACAGAGAAATATTTCAAGGTTTATGATTGCATGTACAAGTACAAAGAAAACAAAACCTACCTTGCATGAAATCAAGACTACAATAAACTCCTAAAGCCTTGTGCAGTTTGCCAGAAGGTATAGTTCAAGATCTATAGGGAGAAATAAAAACCTGCCTTGGGCAGATTAACCTGGATTTAAACTATGTAGTACTGACATAAAGGGATTTTTTTTCTGCAACTTTATGTATACACACAGAACATAAAGCAAACCATGAATTAGACCTCAACAGGTCTCAAGTGGAAATCCTCCAGTTAGAGGACTTTTAATGACATTATACAGCTCAAAAAATAAGGATATTTTAGCCAATAAAACACACTGGGATTCCTCTTGTTTGCTTTCTAGTATTTGACCTTTCCAGATTTGCATTTTCAAGATTTTCCGTATAGCCAGGACACAAAGATTCCTGTAAATTCTCCAGTGGCTTCCAGAGAAGTACCACAATTCTGCTAGAGCTCACAACAGCATGTGTGCATTTTTTTTCAGGTTCTTAATGTCAGATATTAAGTTAAAGTATTATTATGATCTCTTCTTCTGATAATAAAGTGCTGTATTAGCAATGTAAAGAGAACCAAGGCCCCAGACTGACAGAGCAGTGTGACTGACAGACCTCATTTTAACTGATCTCTCAGCAGCAACAGTCATTTATTAGCAATGAATTTGCATGTGAAAGACATTCTACATGATTGTGTCTTGTGCTTGTCTCTCCTAAAGAGGGGCTTACTATACCAGTACTGCTGTAAAAAGCTAATCCACTGGAAGCACTGAATTCTTCGATGAAAAACTGGGAGAGGGAGATTTGCTCATCTGTGGTCAGGGACTTGTTTCCATGTTTCCAGTACAACATCAGATCATCTTCATTGTATGCATCTATGAGAAAGCAGAAACTAAAGTTATAAAGTCACTGAAGTTATGAAGTTACTAAAGTAAGTCACCCCTTCTGCTGGAATAACGCTTCTGTTTTCCTTTCTTAGGGAGAGGAGACCACTCAATCCAGGAAAGCCCCAAAGAAACATTTTTTTTTTTTACATCAATTTGCCAGTTAGTTGGCATGAAAAAAATTTGCAAAGACCATATTCCAGCCTGTTCCAAGTGCAGGCCAGCCCTGTGCCCTGCCAGCAGCTTACCTGACAGATGGGAGACATGGGTGTGCTCAGGGTCACAGGGCACACGAGATCAGAGCTCTGGAACTGTCACTGAGCAGATCTGTTCCCTTTTCCAACACTAAACAACAAACCAGCATCCCAGTTTTACTTATAATCCAAATAAGAATAACATTTGAAATGTGAAAAGGCATATTGGCATCTTATTTTACTTTTAGCTTGCACTTCTTTTCTCATGGAAAAAAAGTCCAGATGTGGGGGTTTTTGACAGCTTTTTAGATTTAGCCCTTGGAATATTAACCCAGTGGAAGTAAAGCAGGGTGCATCATAGTTTTTCTATCTTTCCAAAGCTCAGTGAGTTCTATAAAGATCTCAAGCTGTTTACAGTTTAGCATGAACATGTTGAAGGGTTCAGGTCACACATCAGAATAAGTGAAAGGGGTGTTCTGAGTGCTGGGAAGAATGCACATGTGAATAACAATTATGAATTAAACTTACAGCTTTCCAGTTCTAAAGAACAGTTCTGAGTGTCCAGAGGAAACCTACTGAAATCCATGAAACACATAGCAGAAACTGTTATTCTGCAGAAAGGAACAGAAAAACAGAAATAAAATGAAAAATTCCACATTTTCTTATAGCTGTGCAGATATCTTAGTGAGATCCCCAGCCAATCTGCTTCTTAGAATCCTAATTTTTGAGTTTTTGTGCCCTTTCAGCTGCTCCTGAAATTGCTTCAGGGTGGTGAGATAAAGTTAAATCAGTGAGAGATCACCTTTTTTTTTAAACAGAAATAGCCTTTATTATTAAATAAAGTACCTTAGATTTTTAAACCCTTTACTGGCCTGATCCTTCATTAGCCTTTCACGTTTTGCTTTGAAGGGTTACACTTATGAAGATTAACAAAGGGAGTTCACATTTCTTGACTTGATTTCTCATAGATTGAAGTAGATAATATTACAGATTAGAGAAGATATTATTGCAAGTGCTATTTTCCCAGCTAGAATGGTTATAATATGTAATTGCATAGAAAGATTAGCTGCAATGTCTGGAAGCCTACTCTCTTCTTCAACATCATGGAAATGAAATGTTTTATGCCCTAAAAAGCTTAAGGAAATCTAGGTAAGGACTATTTTGCATTCCACCTGTTTTTTTCACAAATGTTCTGAGGATTAACAACCCCTTGGCATTTTAACCAATAAACAACAAAAAAACCCCAAACCTGCTAGAGGCAGCAATTTAAATATGGTACCTATCATCAAATTTCCATTTCTTGTCACAGCTTGCATGTCACTTGATGTTTTAGTTCAACTTTTCAGTTTTCCCCAAACATAATCCTACAACAATTTAAGTAAGGGTTATACCGATTATATAAGTGATATTTGAAAACTTGTGGTCAGCAGTCACTCTGTAGCTGAATTTTTACAAGTGTAAGATTTTGCTGGCTTGAAATAAGATTGTAAGAGTGGTGCATGGATATGACTTCCAACTATGGATGTTGTTTCCTTCTTTTAGCTATTGACCAAGGGATCAGGGGAACAACAGGAAAAGAAAGACTATTTTAGCAACAAATCTGGATTTTTATTTCACTTTGCTTCACTAAAATCCTGGATGCTGGGCACTGAAGAAAAACTGTGGAATAAGTAGATTTATTGCACATAAGTATTTGGAATATAATCTGCTCATTGCATGTAAAACTGGCAATACAAAAAGGGTGTCCTAGTGAACATCTGATTCTTTAAGAACATACACATTAACACCACTCCATTTCTGTCCTTCCCATCACATGCTCCCTGTGGTTTGTGCACAATTTCTTGTGCACATTAATCTTGATGACACTTCACCTCTCCAGCCAGCTACCAGGAAGTGTTTGCCCATCTTATGCCCCTTTGCCCCTCTTCCTTCCCCCAGCTGAATGTGTCACACCCCCCACATGGAGAACCCCTCATAAAAGCCTTACTGCAGTAGTGTAGTTCCTCTGGTCACTCCCTCTCTCTCAAGAATCATGGAAATTAATAAACAGAACAATAAAAAGCATACTTCACCTCATTGTTTCTTACTGGTCAGTGTGATTCTTGAACATGCACTACTTTAAAGTGGTGCATTGCTGCTTGGGAGGGTCCTGCATGCCCTCATGAAAGAGTAAATAAATTCATTAATTGCTGGAACAATTATTACACAGTCAAAAATCTCAGGGGCTTCCATAAATCTTCAGACTATCCAGATTAGATGAAATATCACCTCTGTGTACAGGGCTAATTAGTAACCAACTGGAGAACTGTGATTTCTACAATGCACGGCCCTCAGAGTCCTTACCCTTGGGGGAAAATCCCTCCTCCATTAAAACTATTCCTGCCACATCTTCCAAATTTGCTTCATAAAGCAAAGCAGTAACATGCAGATGGAAGAGAGACACATTTAGTGACCTTGTTATTCCAGTTCTGGAACTGCTACTTCACTTTGCAGTTCCTTGTAGTCACACAACATGCCTGCCTAACACTGCTGGTATCAGCACCAATAATCTGCTTTCTGTGCCTGTCTAGAGCCCTGAGGAATATCAATGGTATGTTTATGGGTATCCCAGGAAGAAAACAGCTGAGATAGTTTTAAAATACTCAGCTAAAAAGGAAAAAAAAAAACTGCTTTTTTTCCTTTGCTAATAATATAAATAATAATGCACAATAATAAATAATAATATAAATAATAAATACTCAGCAGTAAATCTACTGCAATCTTGCTAGTACCACTAGCAATGAATTAACACCTGAAAAACTGCCACTATCCTGTGACAGGAAAAAATATGTGAAGGACAGAAAAACATGTTATCAAGCCTAAATTTACTTTCCCACTGCTACACTGGTCACCAGTTCCCCATTAATCCCCACTGGATTAATGCCAGTCCAGTAGGAGAATCTTCACTGCAAGTATTGCCAGTAATTTCTCACTGCCCAGACCATCGGCCCCCAGTTGCAGTGATGTATTTTCTTACCTCAGGCTGAAGAGAACGTTGCCATCAGGGTATACTCTGAGCATGATGTTTTCCACAGTTGTATCATGGATGAAAGATCTTTTGGAGTGCACAAAAAACACATCAGGTACCCAGATCTTTTTGATCAGTCGCCCATCGAAGGTCATGCTCTTGTTTTTGTTACTGCGAAATGAAAGTCTCTCGTCCTTCCAGTAATGTCTGAGATACAATGTCATTGTGAAGTCCTTTGTTTCATGAAAAATAAAAGAAGACAATGCCTGTTTTAGTTACATGCAATAGAAGACAGAAGAAATTAATCAACTCATGCAAAGGATCAGTTTCTTCTCTGGGTATTATCTGAAGGATCCTCAATGAGGGGAATCAAACACCACTCAATGAGTTAAAATACAGGCTGGAACTATCACTGAGATCCTGGTTGTTTGCCTTGGCACTGGTGGCTGAGTCTGAGGTTCATACTTCATTTATATTTAGGTAATAATCCAGTGGTTTTCTGGACTGGGCCAGCAGTGAAGTGATAAAGAAGCTTTGAAACCAGTCAAAGACCAACAGAAAAAGGTTTCCCCTGGAAATCTTCACAAACTTCTCTGAGAATGGACTGTGGTTCCTTTACAAAGGGATTGGTTTGAGTTCTTCATGAGCATTAGACCAATTTTTAAAATCCATAAATCTGTACATCTTGTGCCAATATGGTACAGTGGGTTTAGATTAGCACATTTATGAATTAAGTGCATCACAAAGAAACAATATGAAGAATCTCATAAGAGTAAGCAATTAGATTTTACAACAAATATTTTTTAATATAAAAGATTGTTGCAAATATTTTATCCTATTTAGAGCAACACCATGACTGTAAATATACATGTGGAAAGAGATGAAGAGGATGCTGCAAACTCAGTCTGAGTTTCTGCAGAGCCTGACTGCTCTGTGTTCACCTATATCACTTTTGGCATCATTCTCCTCACCATAACAAGTGCTTCTGATAAGAATACTGGGAAGATATTTAGGTCTTCCCCTGTAGTATGACCTGCATGCTTCAAGGCAAGGTTGCACTCTTTAAGGGTCTGTCTTCTTTAACTCTGTTATTCTATATCATCCATTTGGATGTTTCTGAGACCGTGAATTTTGACTGAAATCCTTCATTCTGATTCTACTCATCCACTTACCATGTCAACTTCAGATATGCTGTCAATGCTTTCTACCTGCACATCAATGCCCACAGGTATTGGTGACCCTGCAATGTAACAGAACAAGTGGTGAGGAGCATAAATCCACATTTTGAAAGGGAAGACTGTGCATTAGCAACATGCAGAGAGTTCCCCATCCCAGCATTCACTACAGTCTTTCCAGCTTAGCACACTGAATGAGGAAGTCCACAGCAACAAAATAAAACCCAATGCCAAACAGTTGTAAAAATAAGTACAAAATCTTCAGTGATCTGTTTGCAGCCAGACTAGTTGTTATTGGCATTGCAGTTTGGACAGCAATGAACAGCACCCTTGTGATGCCAAAGGGAAGGAACTCCTTGGAGTGCTATTTAGAACAGGGAAAAGCTGAATAAATACATTAAATACATCAAAGATTGCAAAGCTTTCTTAACCAGTTCCAATCCTTATTGCCACACTTGTAACTTTATTTTATATACCACCCCACTATTTCATGTCACCGAAAAAGGCTGTGAGTCTTTAGCAAAGTGGGATCTGAATGAACAAATGATAAACATGTATTTGCATTTTTAGAATGAAGTGACTACAAATCAGTTAAAAATTACAGCCAAGTGGGAAACTATTTCCACTCTTGTCAGTGTACACTATCAAGAATGATGGATCTAGTTCTCCATGGGTTTATGTACCTCTGCAATTTTCAGCAAGCACATCATTCCACTAATTGACTGATCGCTTCCCTACAGAGGAGGGAGAGAAGAATATGTATGTGTGTGTATACACCATACACCCCACCCCCAAGAATATTTTGCATTTGGCATGAAAATCAGTAGGAACTATAGTACGTGAGATTCCCGTTACACTTGTAAAAAACAGTCAGTTAAAATATTTTTAAAGCACACATTTCAAATAACCCAGAAAAGACACAACTAGAAAGAAGTCTGAACAGCAGCAGATAGAAACAGCTTTTCTAATTTGTCTTTCTCTTTTTCTTGTCTTTTCCTTTTAGCAAAGTCAAAATAGTCCAGAAACATCGCTCCTGTGATATCCAGCCACAATACTGTGTCTCTTTTGGGAATTATCCTTAAAATAGCAGCCTTTGAGGATTACACAGCTGCCTCCAGTTCTTACCAGTGGGGATCTTGAACTATTTTAGAGGCATAATCCCTCGATTTGACTTGTATTTTTTAATGGAGAGTTTGACCCTGCACAGAACAGATGAAGATGCCCTGTGCATGGGAAAGCAAGATAAGATGTGTTTAGAGTTAGCAGGGCACAGCAGAACATATTTAGGCACTGACAAGAGCTGTGCTGGCTGGCTTGGAAATCCTTTGAGGGGAATGCATCACTCAGTGGCCAAAGCCCAAAACAAGACTCGGGACTCCAGAGTGCAAAGTTCAACTGGTTTATTAGTAAAACACAAGCCAGCACTTCAGAAAATGCAGCTTCTTTGGGAGAATTTGGATTTATGCCTGATGTGAACATCGTTCACAAATGGCATTTGCACATCATTTAAATGCAAAGAGTTTCTGTTGAATTATGTGGGGGGAACAGGAGGAGAGTGGAGCAACTCCCAACATAAAAAAAAAGTTTTACCATTTTCTAAGCCAAGGACAAATCTAAAGCAAACCAAGTTAAATGTCTACCATCAACATTCCTCAAACAAGACAAGGAGCTACCCACAAATCATAACCCAGAATAGGACAACTAATTTTCTAAGCCATCTGCCATGTGCAGTAAGGAAAAGGCTTTCCTTAGTGACAGCTGCTCAAAGTGTGATGATGGCAGTCCTAATATCTCTTGGAATTTCAAAAATTACAGACAGTTTCTTACTAAACAAGCATTTTTCCAGTGTGGGCACAGTTTCATTCAGTAATTCACCTCCTCTGCGTAGATATAAACTGATCACAGAAGCAGAAATCAGTGGCAGCTTATGATGATGATGATGGTTGCGTGCACACAAACCAAAGTGCCACTTACACATGAACACACCCAGGGACATGTGACTCTCCGAAAGGAAGCTTGCACTGCATTGGCAGCTCTCATAAAACCAACTCAGTGGGGACAACAAACAGCATAAAAGAGATCAAAACCTGTGGCCAGGAGAAATACAGGAAACTATTCCAAAGTGAATGGAAAAAAAAGGGAACAGTTACAATTAAATTTATTCCCGATTAGTGGAAAAGCTAGAACTGTGAAACAGACTCCTCAATAGGAGATTCCTCTTCTCTGTCTGGAGAAAGACAAAAGACTACACCCACAATGCTTAAGGAGAAAATATTGTTTTATTCCTGCATTCACCCCAGACAGTTATTAAACCACATCCCCCACCCCAGCCCTGAGGTGTTATTGACAGATCACAGCAGCTGCAAATATTTCCTTCCTATTCTGACTCTATTTTGGCAATAAGTGTAAGGAGATAATAAAGACATTCATCACTGCACATATATACAGCCCTGATCTCTTCAGTGTTCAGTTTTCTCATCTGGAGTACTTTCATATTGTTGTCATTAACACACACACAACACCCCTCCCAAGATCCCTGCTGGCCTTACTTCTGGCTTTCTGGGAACATTCCTTTCTGTGATCAAAAACCAAGTCCACTAGAAACAGTAATACTTAGCTATCAGGAACAGGTTGCTGAGAACTGTATTTTCTTCCTCCTTGGATTTGTTTTACCACAAGAGGATGTTTTTAAAAAATATCATTTCAATAAGCATTGGAAAGATTCCTAAACCAGCCCCTGCATCTGCACCACATCTTTCTCCCTGCTATACTGAGAATTTCAATCTCTGGCTGACCATCAGACAACAGCAGCAAAGTCACTTTTAAAAAAAGTAACCAGAGCAAAGCTGTGGGTTTTATTTCCCAGACTGACAAAACTGGGGATGGCAGAGAGGATTTTGTTATTAAATTGAGCAGCTTCAGTTGCTTCTGGAGAGTCACTAGAAATCATTATTTTAGAGGGATTAGTGACTTCACAATGGAGGCTCTGCAGATTTTCAAGATAATTACTCCTCAGCAAAAAACAAAAAACAAAACAACCAGCATTGTTTTCAGATGGGTTTATCTTCACACAAGCCATTTCCAGTCTTTAATTTTAAAGGTTTAAAAATTGCAAAAGAATTCCTTGATGAGTATGGAATTTTTTTAACAGACAGTATGTCAGGCCAAATTCCATAATACCCTTTTTAGAAGGGCTATTATGTAAAAAGGATACCCTTTTAGCATTTTTAGGATCAATTTCTACAGTAATAATGACTGGAATTCTATGGTATTTTTATAATAGTCAGACCTTTGAGCACACAGCAAGTTCCATAAAATAAATGCTGAATTTAGAAAAACCAGCCACTGTATCCCAGTTGGATTAGTAACAGTGTATGTGGGGGAAAAAAAGCAAAGCCTACAGAAAATTCCCAGTAGGAGACAGAGACCAGGAGAGGATTAAGGTCTATGGGATTAATTTCTTCTAAAAAGGCTTGTGGACCTGTAGAGGAAGAAAACTGGATAGAAATGTAAACAAGCTCCAGAGAAGTGAACATATGTGGATGTGTTTACTTTCCCTTGGCAATGACAGAAACAGGAGAATTACTGGCAATGATATTTTCTTCTTGGTACTGTTCTGTTTCTTTTTTATTTATGTGAGAAATGGAGGTAGACTGGTATTAGCAGTAGCCAACTCTTGGGAGGGAAGAACTAGTAATGTTTTGGATTTTTTTTCTCACTGTAAAAGAGAAAAAAAACCCAGAAGATGACTATCAGAGGTCTTGCAAATAACCAAAATATTTCCTTCCTGTCCTGGACCCCACCTATTCCTTCCAGTAACAGATGATAAAAAGCCATTCCACTTTCATCAGTGTGAGTCTTCACCATGGTGAGAAGATATTTCTCATCTTTCAGGGAGAGCTGTGGTGCAAAAAAATAAAACAATTTGGTGGCAAAGAGATATTAGAAAATTCAAATTATACTTATTTGCACATTGGGATGCAATTAGGCTCTTGACCAGTTAAATGCTTCTGAATTCTTTTCCATCATTTCTGACACTTGCTAATGTTATTATCCTCTACATTGGTTGAGAAAGCAGGGATAAGAAATTTTAAAACTTTAACTAACACACCATTAGTACAGGAAATTACAGGTCCTTAAGCCACAATGTAAAAGAAAAATAAAGTTGCCATACTTATATAAATATATATACATAAACACTCAATGAGAACTTCCATGTACACAGTGATTATGAGCATGTGGTTCCATAAATTTTAAAATGCAAAATAGTTCAGAGAGTGAGTGGAAGGATTTCACTGTCGGGAAGACCAATGTATAGAGGAATAAAAGCATGATCTCCTCTATATGCTAGTCTGTGATCTTTTTTTAATGGCAATATTAATTTTCAGTAAGTGGAGACAGAACTCGGGAAACCAAGAGCTCACACCACTTACCAGTACTTTGAGATAATATAGTTCAGAAAATAAAAGGATGTAGACAAATAGGTGTATAGTAGAAAAGAAAGTATTTCTAAGATTCACTTTAGGACCTCTCTCAGTGTGCAGTTTTGGCTGCTATGGGGCCCTCAGATCTGAGCTGCTACAAGTCTCTGTTCATTGTCTCGCACTGGCCTGTGCTCAGCCCATCTCACTGATGATAATCATTCCAAGGAGGGCTGGCAGCATGCTTTGATTTCTTCACTCCAAATTTCAGGTGTCTTCTCACAGATTATCTTCTGAAAAATCATCTGAAGTGCTTTGGGCCACAGCAGATGAAGATACACAAACCGTGACAAGATCTGACTCTGAGCCTACTCACAGTCCTTTGTCTCCTCTGGTAGGACCTGGGCAGACACACAGCCCTGCCAGGCCTGGCAAGAACCATCCTGCCATTGCAGAACCCCTCACATTCTCACCTCCTGGCCTTTGTCAGTGCAGGCCTAAACAGAATTCCTACAACGCTCACTGATGCAGCTGGTAAGGCTGTAAGAGCAAAGGAAAAATCCATGCGGCTAGTCCAATTCTAGTGGAATTACTCAGATCATTATGCTGGGCCACATCTGTTTGCATCAGCAGGGGATCCATCTACTGAAGGCTTCCAAACAATGCCAGACCATGACATTACACAGAAGGCAACAATCAAACAACAACAAAAAATTCAGGAAAGGAAAAAAACCACCAACACCACACTCCTTCCACCAACAACTGAACAGCCTGGCTTAGGGAGTATGTTAAGTAAGATACACTCACATAAATGACAGCAGAGATGTGTCCATTTGGTCAAGAAAAAGGATCTCTTACCTCCACAGAGCAACTTCCATGACAAAGCAACCAATCATGTGAGCAAAGTCACAATTATTCCTAGTAACACTGCAGCCAGTAGCATCAGTATCCAGCAGTTCCACATTCATTTCCCCCAGGTTTTTCCCTGTGCATATTTGCTCAGTTTACGAATCACTGTGCTCTCTTTTTCATTTGTAACTTAATTATAGGTACTAAAAACTCTAGGTCCTTTAATCTGCCTCATTTACATTGCATGTGTGGGGCTAAATGAAATCAAACTTAGATTTAAGAGTTCTCTGCACTGAGGAACATCCAGCAGGTTCAAAACAGCACGAATTTTCCAGCTGCTTTTTTTTCCCTAAACTGGTGCAAAGGATGATTGACCTACTGAGGGAAAGGGGCACAATGGAGCCAGATTAACAAAATCTGTCATTCCAACTCCCTGACATACCCAGAAAATCCCAATAGGGAATAGGAGAGGGGAAAAAATTGTCCCTTGTCTAAAGGTGAAGAATAAATTCTTGTTTTTCACCCAGCTTTTTTGACCTGCTTTCTTTTCCTCTGTTTCAAATTGATTCATGGTGCTGAGCTGAATAAATCATGCAACATGGTATGTGACAGATACAAGCCCTTCATGAATCACAGTGCTGAGATGCTTCATTAGATTTGATGAAAACAAACCCAAAATTTCACCTGCTTTAAATACATAAAGCCACAGTAAGTCCTTGGGCAGTTCAAGGCTATGTTATAACTGCTGTGGCAATGACATCTCTAATTTCACCTTCTCCTCTAGGTGAGCTTCCTTCTGCTGCACACTAAATCACCAGCATTCTTCTGAGAAACTCATACCCTGTCTCTGCTGTCACAAAATAATTCTGAGTATGTTATTCAGATTCATGTTTCAGTTGTGATATTTGTCCACTGATGAGAGCACACTTGTGCATTTACTCTCTGCTGCTGCCTCTTGAAAACAAAACCGTTCTTTACTACTGCAACATCACTGAAATCAATGGTAAAACAGGAACAATGGAGTATAAATTTGGGATTGGCGTTCATTTCACTGTGACTTCTCTCATTCTGTGCTGTAAAAATGCTAATGCATCTGTTTTAGTCTAAGAGAGATTCAGGCATTAGTATTCCACATTTTAAGAGAGTTCTGAAAATTTGGAAGTGTGTGAACTGTTGGATGTGACTGAAAAAAAGTGCCACTATGGCATGTGGATAACAGAGGAGAAGTGAAGCTGATGTGCTCTCCTGCTGGAAGCTATTTCTGAGAGACAGGAGTGCAGCTGAAATCACACCCACGGCAATGTGATTAGTGGGAGGCACATGCAGTGAAGGCAGTGGAAAAACTACAGCTGGCTTCAAGGGGAATTGAATGGGCTCAAGGAGCAGTCATCTGAAAACGAAAGGACAAGGGGAAAAAGCCTGGTGCAGATTTTCTGGAGGTAAAAAAATCCTTGCTGCCCGTGGAAAATTACAACTGCCAGATCACAGGGTATATTCTCAAAGCTGCTTTTATGTATGTACACCATAAATATTGCTTTCTGGGATGAGGCAGCAATGAAGGAAATCCCAGACCTCTGCCTGCTTTGATGGAAATGCTACTTCCTTTCTGAGATGACACTTCCAAAAACTTACATTCCTTGTGTGGCAAAGCAGGTGGCAACAAGAAGAGGTCCAGAGACTCTTGAGACTAGACAGGTATCAGGCATGAGGTAATTTGAACTTCTGTTGCCAAGAAACAGACTGTATCTCAACTATTCTTCAAAATCAGGCAAGATTTCTGATCTCTGCCAAGACATAATTTCTATGGTAACAAGACACCCTCTCACATTCTCCCAGTGTATCCAGAGAGGCTCTTCTTACCCCACATCTCCTGGAATGCTTGTCAGGCCCCAGATCCCAGCAGCTGGAGTTAACAGGAACAGCTCCACAGACTTCAGCCAGCCTTCCAGATTTATGTTTGTCTACACAACTGATTATTGGTCCTCATATTTTATTTTGGCTTCATAATCCAGAGCAGTTCAGTCTATTTTCATGAATCATGAAAACAGAAGTGGTGACGCAAAGGCTCAGACAAAGCTTATTATGGGGTGGCTTTCTCATTTCTCCTTTCATGAAGGAGAGTCAAAACTGAATCTAAACTGTGAACAGCCCATTAAATACTCCCTTTATCCAGTTGCAATTTAGTTAAATGAAGAAATAATCATCATAGTGCCCAACAACACAGAAACAACATGGTGATAAACTGAAGGCCTGTGGGTAGTTTTTTAATTCTGCACAGAGCAAACAGATTTAGGAACTGGTGGTTCATTTCAATCTCCCAAAACAAATCTGGTGACTAAGTAATTTGCTAATTGCTACTAGACAATGCAGTTTACAGGGATACCTTAATCACTGTTCTCAAAGAATCCTACTCTAATAATATTTTATTTTAATTACTTCTGGAAAGGAGACAATACGGCAAGGACAAACTTTTCCTACTGATACACTAAACACAGAGAAGTCTCTTTCGCCTAAAAGCATTTCTGGATTTCTTCTTTACTTATTTCCTGAAGTACAAAAGAGGTGCTCTGCCATTAAGTCTGTCATTCCAGAGAGAGGATAAAGCATTAACCAGCACAGTGCAGGTGTGTGCTGCTTACCTCCAAATCCAGGTCGCAGTGCAAAGTCATGGTCCTCTATGTGAAGCAGCTGCTCAGATTTAAGCGGTCGTACTTTAGTGCTGTCAAGTTTCCTCATTTTAATTTCTCGTTTGCTAAGTTTTAAAAAAGAAAAAAAAGTAAGAAACCTAATTTTTTTTCTGCCTGACATTCAGACTGCTGGTTAAATCAAGTAGGGACCCAAAAATACCAGACAGTTGAATCTGGTATGATAAGAGTAACAACTGTGCCAATAAAGTTAGAGAAAGATATATTGGGAAAGGTTGGGAAATGAGGTATGAGGGTGCCCGGGTCCATGAAGAACACTAATTATTTATAAGAAGCCCCAGGAAAAACATCATGATCTCCTTCTATTCCCCTCAGAGATTGTATTTATCATTATACAAGAGAATAGAGCTGTTTGAGAAAAAGTTATTACTCATATAAACACTTGCAACTCAAACTTGGAAATAACATCACATACCCACGGCTTAACCACCTCATACATTATCCATACTACAGAGACAATTATTGCTTTTATTATAAATGTGGGGGTTTTCCTAGGAGCTCAGATGGGTCAACAATTTTTAAGAAGGACTGAGAAATGAGGATCCTGGATCTAGGGACTTGCAGGGGTAATGGCTTTAAACAGAAAGAGAGTAGGTTTAGATTAGGTATTAGGAAGAAATTCTGGGCTGAGAGGGTGGTGAGGCCCTGGAACAGAGTGCCCAGAAAAGCTATAGATGCCCCATCCCTGGAAGTGTTCAAGGCCAGACTGGATGGGGTTTTGAGAAACCTGGTCTCGTGGGAGGTGTCCCTGCACAAGGCAGGGGGGATTGGAACTGCATCATCCTAGGAGTCAATGTTCTATAGCACACATTAGGATCACCTTTCTCATGGTGACAATAGTGAAACATGGGAACATATTGCCTGGGCAGGTTTTGAGACTCCTTTCACTCAGGCTGCTTAAGAACAGGCAGACATTTCTTTGTACACGTGACTTAATACAATTGCTTTGCCACAGGCAAGGGGCTCTCCCTAGGCACAACTTCTTTCGTGCTTTCTGTGATTCTCTGGGACTTTGCTGCCAGCAACTCCAATTATTACTTTAGACTGACTGATAGATATTTGTTCTGAAGATTTGGCCCTGTAGGCAAACACTGCTTAAGGCAAAGTATGGAATACCTCAGGATAAGGTGTGGGCCTGTATTTACTTATTTTTCTCCTTTCCCCCCCTTTTTTCCTAACAATGAAGCCCATCAAATTAATTTTAAATTACAAGAACGCTGAGGGGGCCGTGGGGCTACTCAGAACCACTGGGCTTGAACAAATTAATTGACCTTAGCACCCTTGAAGGTCTGTATCAGTGTTGGCTGAATCAAATTATCAGGGCAATCAGAAGGCCCATCAGGCATTTCAAACACAGTCTTTAGTTTTCCAAGCAAGAAAATCACGTGGATGCTAAAACAAAACCCCGTCCTTCAGAGAATTAAAACCACCAGAGAGCAAGCCTGTGTTAGAGCAGGATGGGCAGCAGGACTGAACACCTGCAATGCTCTGCAACAGGGAAATTCTGCTGCCTGGGAACCAGCATAAGAGGAGATGATGAATTATGCTCAGAATGCCGTGGCACAGCTCATGCACTTTGGAAGCAGCGAGTTATTTGTCAGCGGATGCACCAAGAAAAAGGGCTGTTTGATGCTCCGATGATTTCACTGGAAGAAGTAGCCTGGAACTATGATTTATCTGTCACAGCTTCTTACTAGAAGTGTGTGACTGAGACAGGCTTTCCCTGGCCATGAGAGGCAAAAACATAAGCCACCAGGGCAGGAATGTTCTACTTAATAAGCCACTGAGAAGACTTTGATATTCCTTCTATTTTCCCGGATGAGGACAAAATAAACAGAAATGCTGCCTCTATGAAAAACATCTTTCGTGCCCACTTACTTGAACAGCTGATGTTTTATATATACAAATGGTGGAATTCTATAATTATTTCTATCTGCTATCAAAAATGGTACTTCAAGCCAGGCAACATCTTGCAGGTGTCAGAAGAGCATTATTAGCATTATTACAAACATGCTATATCTTCTCTTCAATACCTTCCTATAAACCTTTACAGTAAAGGAAAATAGGCTTACATGCAGAGATATGTGCTTATGGTGCTTGGGATGAATTTCATGGACATTGGTAACCTTCCACCTGTAAAGGTACCAAAACTTGGAAAAATTCCATTAAAATTTCTAAGATAATTAAAAAATAATACACTTCTGCTTCACATTTTTTCTCCTGTTGACTGCTTCCCCAAGCCAGGGCTAAGAAGTGTTCTCCAGCAGATACTCCTTTAACATCAGCATCTGGGCTCCAGATGTTGCTCCTTGGCAGAGAGTTACAGTATTAAATTGTCCTCACTGCAGCATTACAGTTATTTAACTGATGATTCAAAGGGAGTCTCATGTATGTGTTTGTTTACTCCAAATAAATCTTAGACCAGGAGCTAACTATTGATCAGCACCATAGCATTGTGAAATCAGCAGCACATGTCTTCATGCTCCTTCCCATGGTATCAATTCCATTAAAAAGCAGAACAGGTGTCTGGGAGGAAAAGCCCACACAGAGTCACAGAACCATTCAGGTTGGAAAAGAACTCTAAGATCATCGAGTCCAACCATTAACCCAGCCCTGCCAAGCCTATCCCTAAACCACATCCCTAAGCAACCACATCTACGTGTCTTTTAAACACCTCCAGGGATGGTGACTCAACCATTTCCCTGGGCTGCCTGTTCCAGGCCTTGACAGCCCTCTGAGTGAAGAAATTTTTGTGAAATCATTTGCAGATGCATCTATCAGCAGACACATGCATCTAAAAAAGGGAAATTACCTCCCTGGGTGCACTCTGACAGATGCCTTGGTATTAGCATAGATCTGGGCAATGATCAATACCACTTTATTGGTCTCAGTGAGGCACATGCTCAAGAAACTCCTGCTTCCAGTTACAGCTGTGCTCTCCACAGCTGTATTCCAGGCAGCATTTTTCATTACCCAAATGAAATGGTAATCTATGACTACATTCCAAAAGAGGTCATAAAAAGCACTTGAAGTGTTTCAGATCACACAGGGAGGACACCCCTGTTGGTAATTATACAGTAAGTATACTGTATAATATACTTCAGTATATATACTGAAGCACCAGATTTTTGGATGAAAAAAAAGTGAGGAATACTGTTCTGTCACTTCCTTACCCAGTACTACTACATGGACCTTCGTATTTGACAGCACTCTCAAAGAGCAGTTACTCACTGCCTACAAAACCACAGCAACTAATTCAGAATTATTTTTAAATGGACAAAGATGTGTCAGGTTTTTAAAGGTAAATTTAGCTGCTCCTGCCTGACCTTGATTACCATTAGCAAATGAAAGGTCAAAGGTCTGTTCAAGGGTACTTGGATCATTTTTGTTTAAAGCATTCAATCACTTAATGTCAGCAGTGTAGCTCCATGGCACTCATGGCACTGCTGTGGTTAGTATCCCAGCTGGTTGTCTTCAACTTAACCAGGTTATCAGAAGTTTATGCTGGTTCAGGGAGCAATGGGACAAGTTCATGGAAAAGAAATCCACTGAAGATCACTAAATCTACAGAAATTACATCCAACACAGGATGTATCTGAAGAAAATTTGCTGACTTGACGTAGCTGGAAGTACTAGGGAGAAATATCTTATTTGTTTGCCCTGTCCTTATTCTTCCAAACCTGTGCTTACAAGCCCAGGAGTAAGTAAGATCCTGCATGGCTGTTCTTCTGTTTTAGTAGGGAAAAAATATCTTGTTATACTCAAAATTAGATAAGTTTATGAAAAGAATACTATTAAGGACACTTTTTATAAAAAGAATACCCTGGACTTCATGGCCATAGGTTTCTTTCCAGTGCTGTGTTCCCAAGATACTTTATCAAAGGTATACTAAATCAAAGGTATTCAAAAGGTAGAAGTTACAGAAATCTTACTGCCAGAAGAGTCTGTGGGGTTACACAGCAGTGTTTTAACAAATTTACCAAATCTTGAAGACCAGACAAATGTAATAATCAAAGTTGTATAGTTCTCTCTCACACACATAAAAATGCATTTCTAAGTGTTCAGTAACATCAGCAACATGCACTGTCAAAAAGCCCAATATTTTGACAATCAAATGTTTTGTTCTTTGCTGCAGGAAATGGACCATGAGAATAATCGCTTTCTCATGTACTTTTGGTTAATGCTTTAAAATCTTCTTTACAGGAGAATGCAGACAAATAGCTTTGGAGGGAGAATTGGGTTACTCTATTAAAACAGTGGAACTTGTAGGTTAAGTAACATTTTCACATGGGATTCTTTTTAAAAGGCCACCCATTTAACCAAGGCCATCTGTCAGCTGTGTCCCTAATAACCCTCGTGCTGGCTGAAAGATTTTTCCCCAGAAAGAAAAAGAGGCTGGTGGAAAGTCAGACCCTGTTGCAATGAAGATAATTCTTCCTGTAGAACAAAAACAGAGAATGAAACAAAGAGAAATTAAACACACTTGGATCCTTTGCAGAGAAAAGCTGGATTTGCAGCTGCTAAGCTTTGGGATCCTGCATGACTCAGATTCTGCAGGCTTCTTCCTAGTTTGAAATCACTGGGACCTCAGAAGTGGAATATGTGGGATGCCAAAGCATGCCTTGTGTAAAGAAAACTGCAGTCCTGGCATTCCTCCTTGTTCCTATTCTTCCTTTTCTGTTAACACCCTGCCTGTCTCACAGGATTGTCACATGGATCCATTTATATGCATTAGTAAAGATCTGTGAAGGTGGAGAGGACACTGTGCTAATATTGGTACTGCTGTCCTGTGGCAAGAGCATGTCCAGCAGGATGCCTCAAAATTTGCTTTCTCCTACCACCAGGATTCTTTCCTGCTTTGTGATTTTTTTACGTCAGTGATGGAGCGACTGCTCTCAGCTACTGCAGAACAGGATAAATGCAAACAGGAGCATATGCTTTCCTTTCAGCACAGACAAAAGTGTTTCAGCTGAGCTTGGAACACACCCTCCTTGCCACTACCATTAGCAATAACAAGGCATTGATGCTGTTCCCATTTGATTTTTAACTGCTTCCTGAGACAAGCAAAGCACCAGATTAAACCTTATGTTGATACTAGGGCTAGTTCTGTTTATTTTCCTGTGAGCACCCACTCACAAAAGCTGTCAGTAAGTTTGAAACAATCTGCTGAATAGCCACGCTTTTCATGAGCTTTTGGCTTAGACCAAACTTGAACCTATACCTTCAAAAAAAAAAAAATCCAGAGGTACTGAGTGATGCAACATCTCCAGGCACCTCTGGTGTGTAATCTGTTACCTTGCATGGCTTAAACGTGATTTTATCAAGACATGTAAGGTTTCAGAGATATTTCACTGATGGATTATCACATAAGAAGTGGTACAGGAGGTGAACAACTGTAGCCCTGTCACAAAGCATGCAACTTGAGGGAAAAAAAATCAACTTGAACACATCAGAGGAGTCCACTTATGTTACTTTTCCTCAATATGTGATACTGTACAAATAAACTATCAGCTCCCCTGCTCATTTTAGTAGGTGGTCAAACACATTGAAAAATCTAGCAGTTGTATCCCTTCTCCTCCCTTAAATGGAGCTATTTATTCCCAACAAAGAGAAGTTTTCCTTGGATTGTCACTGGCAGTGATTGGTCTGTTCACATACTATTAGATTAATCTGGAAACGTGTTGAGAGACCTCACGTGGCCGATGGGAAATTGCATTTGGGGGGAAAAAGCACTAACATTTTGCATAGAAACTCACATATAAAAACCTCTGTATCATTATTCATTTCCAATCAGCTACTTGATTGGAAAAAGCAGAAACAGAGACAATCTTCAGTGTATAAAAGCACAAGTATATTCTAGAAAGGGAACACACTGTGTCGTCACTGTAAATAATCTATAATTCACCTCATGTAGTGCCATAAAAATGTCTTCTGTATCTTTACAGCGTAGCTACTCTGCTGTTTAGGTAATAGAAGTCACTTTAAAACTTGAAATCACTTTTGAAGGCATTTCTGCTTCTTGTAATGGGAGTGAGAGGGCAAGAATACTTGGTACATCACAGCAGTAGTCTGGCATCACAATTAGTAAGTAGCCTTATATCATAGGAGATAAAAGAGCTGGGTGTGAGTGGGCACCCACCTGCATATATATATATTAAGCATTCATGAAATCACAAAATGAAATATCTGGTTATGAAAAATTAATTAATATTTCACCATGTCTGTTTTCTAGCAATACTATGTGTTACTATAAATCCAGAAGCAGGAAAACAGGACAGTGAGCAAAAAGGGTGCATTGAAAGGTGTCTGACAGCATGAAGTTCACCTGAGGAACACTGACAGATAAAGTATGTTGCTTACCTGGTATGCTTTCTTGAGAAAGATGATTGCTGCCGACGGTGAAGGTGGTGGTGCTGACTGTGAGAGCTGTGTAGCGTTGCTGTTGGCCACAGGCAGGTGAGGAACAGAAGTTTCATGACCAGGACCATCTCTTCCAAGAGAGAAACGCACCTGATCACCCAATCCACTTTGCTGACTTCTTGTTTTCAGTGTTTAGCAACAGCATAGCATACAAAAGATGCACGTGAAGCAAGGCATCACTGAAGTGAGAAGACAGGGGCATCCCAGTCCTGACATCCTCGCCAAGTTGCCCTCATACTTTGGCAAATCATAAATATTTCCTCAGCTGCACATCCCTGCAGCATCTGCTGTCAAAACAGAAGCACCTGGTTCTCAGAAATGTGGTAGATCCAGCAGTTTGTTTGGGCAGGCTGCAGTCTGACCCATTGCTTCCACTCCTTCAGCATGGGCGCGTTTTTAAACTCTCCATCACCCGCTCAGTAACCTCTTCCACATTGCCTGTGCAGGCAAAGTGATGTCAAACATTTAATCCCCCTTAAATCCCACACAAAACCATACAAAAATCTGCCTTAATGACAAAGGTCTCTAAATTAATCTTGCTTTATGTATATGTGTGTCTATCTGCTCAGAATCATTTTCTGTGCAGATCAAGCTCTTCTGTTAACTGGCTACATTGCACTGTCTCCCCAACATCATTTCTGTCTCTGTGATCTCCAAGCATTTTATCTGCACATGCAGAACTACTTCTGGACAGAACAATATCACAGAACAAGTCCAAATTAAAAAATGAAGTCTTATTTCAATATTCCCTTTCTTTCTCTTTTTTTTTTTTTTTACTGAGCTCTGCAGCTATTTAATCTATGCTAAATAGAGGTGCATGTCTAAGATCCAGTATCTTCCACCAACCCCAATTTTATCTATACCTCATTTAGCCTGCCCTGACTGTTCAACAGCAGGCTGAATTGCAAAGCATTTTATTAACAAATTGTTGCTTAAGCAATAAATTGTGCATGCCAGCTACAAAAGATGGTAAGATTTCTTCTGGGCAATGCTGGGGACACATCTTCTTAGATGTCAAATTTATCCTTTTCAAGCCATCAGCAAGTTCAGTCATTATCACAATTGACAGCGTATGTTTATTTTTCTTTATTTAGATAATAAGAGATTTGAGACTGAAAGTCTGGGAAATTAAAACACCCAACCTCTGTCTAACAGATAGAGGAGTAATTGGGGTCTCCCAGCAGTAGATTTCTTCCTAAGTAAAACAAACAGAGGAATAAAACTAAGCCCAACACTGTGTCTGCTGAGATTGTTAACACCCAGGCACCCTGGGACAATAATTCTGTGATGTGGGCAACTGCCTCCTCAGGAGTTTCCTGAGATTTCCAACTAACTTCAGCTGAGCCAAGAAATAATTCCCAGACGTAAATTACTTCCACATGGAGGTTATCAATTGACAGCTAATTCCCACTGGTTTTTTTCCATTTGGAGTTGAACAGCTATCTGCCTGTAACTTAAAAAAAGTGTGTGGGGGGGAAGAAGTTCCTTCCCAACCATCCATAAAACTTTAACGGTGTTAGATTGAGTTTGGTGGCCTAGATCAATGGCCTTCAACCCTATTATCCATCTCATTCAACTGTTCATGGTTTAATCCTTTCCTGTTCAGCAAACTTAGGGAAGATCATTTGTAGCCTGACCTAGGGATAGTCAGATAGTGCTTCCAGCAGATCTTGTGTATTCTCAGGAGGGAGTTTCTAGACAAGGTAGACACAACCTGTAGTTCATAAGACCTTTAACAAACTTTTAATCATTATCATTTGAATGGAAAAGGGAAAATAAACAATAACTCTAATGAGAATTTATTCCAGGGGGAGATAATACGAGTTCCTGAGCCAGTCTGGTTAAGTTTCCTAGTCTCACCCAGCCTACATATATCAAAGTATCAGACCACTGATTAAATTACCTACAAGAAAAAACCAAAAGCCTTTGGATCCTGTTCTTTCCCCACCCAAGCACAGGTCCAACAGTAGCTGAGGTTATCCACCAAGAGCTATGAAGGAGTCTGTGGTTAGATCACGTCATGCTACTGCAAACATTTTGTGTACTGACCTCAAGGAAGTCAAAGGAGTCCATTAAAAACAAGTAAGAAAAAAAAATTGCTTTGTGAATGTATTTCCCAGCTGGAAAAGCGGGTGCTTAGAACCCCTGCTCCAGAAATATGCAACACAGGCTATGCAGAATGACTGGCACACCTCTGGCCAAGCTGCATATAGATGTCTCTCCCTCCAGAAGAGGGGAGCCTTTAGCAGAGAAAAAGGCAATCAGCTGCTGTTTTCATTCAGCTCTCGGCACCCTGCTGTTTTATTACTCCCGGCTGTAGCAAGAACTGTGGTGCTGAAAAGACTGCTCCGTGGAGGGTTTCCAAAACATGCTGAATGCTCCTTTGACTGCCCCTGCTAAAACCAGCTTTACTAAAAAAAAAAAAAAGAAAGGGCTTGGGTGCATTGACACATTCCACACCTTCAGGAGGTTGATGCTATAAATACACTTTGAGGGTCCTTGCCTTAGTACACTGAAAATCTAAGCACTACCCCTCTGTCCTTGACTGTGGCATATTTCCAGAAAGGGTCCGGCCCACACACATGGAGTCCTCAGGACGGATTCCTGCAGAGGGGAATGGCAAACACTTCCACTGACCAGCGGGAATATCAGTGAGGGCAACTCGCTGTCACCAACAGCGATGGGGTTTCTTCATGCTAGAGCTGTTTTCATTTCCTCTGGGCAAGGGAGCATTACACAGAGAAGATTATAATATCATTCTAAATTGCCATTAAGAAAACAGGTTAATCTCCCAGGCATTTGTCGGTAATAAATTCTAAGAAGATCCATCTTTGCAGAAGAATAAAGACAAGGTAATATACTTTGCTTGTGCTGGGTGAGTCACTGATTTGTTCTTGTGTTTAAACACAGAGCATTTTCTCTTTGCTATCAGTAAAATATTTCTTTAAAATTATCCCTTCTCTGCAGCCCATGAAGAGTTTGCAGTGCTTGTCTTTCCAGGACAAAACCCAGCAGAGGGTGCATAAGCTCACTGGAACAGTTTACAAACAAGCAGGGAAAGAAAAGAAACAAAGGTGAATAAGCCACCTGGTATCAAAAAAATGAGATGCCTTCTTTTAAGTCAGCAAAATAAAACATTGCTTCTGGTAACTGCAATCTGGAACTACAGACCCCTCTCCACCACAGATCACAAGGCAAAGCAAATTGACAACAGCTATTGTAAAAATGAAAACAGAAGAATGCCAGGGATGAAGAGACGTTTCAGAGGCTGGAATTTTGCAGGAAATCTGATCACACCTAAAGGCCACTTTGAACATATGGAGCTGAAACACCACAGCACACCAGCACTTACCAACCTGTAAATTAGCTGCAGTGAGAAGAGATGCCAAGTGGAATGGGTAGTGTGGGTTTAACTGGCATGTAATTTTTTATTCTCCTAATCAGAGAATGAAACACAAGGAAAAAAACCCTCATTAATAAGAGTCTCATAGGAGGCACTCACTTCTGATGAACAACCAGCAAATCACAGAAAGCAGATTAACCAGAGCTGTGTCTGTGAGAGTGTGAATGCAACACCACAGCACAGGAATAGGCAGCATTTTGCTTTTCTATGGTAACAGACTTGGTATATAAATGGTAACTTACCATTTATATCGTGGTGACTTGCAAAATTAATGTCAGAATTAAGGACAGTTTGTCCCCCTTATATTAATGCAAATGACAAACCAAGTTCCCAGAATGAGGTATCTGTTCACATTTCCTTACAGGATGAAGTGGGAGGAAAGCAGACACTGAGCATTATGATTCCATATTTCAGTAAGCACCTCATATATTTCTGATAAATGCTTAGTTATACTGTTTAAAAAAAATCCTGAATGTTTTTCTTTTCCCTTTTACAGGACATACTTTTTTTTGTGGTCCAAGTACGAATTTCTTGTGAAATCATGGGTTTGGACTTACTGTTTCTTGTATTTTCTTAATACCTCACTGTCTGTGGCATTCTCATATCATCAAAGGGAGCATTCCTGATGAGACAAACACTGCTGTGAAGGAAACCAAAAATCCAAGCATTACAGATGCACAGTCCCCACCTGCAGTGGGCTCATCACATCACCTGGATCCAGACTGAGCCCAGGAGTTTGGTCTTGGTTCTGATGCCTTGGGAAGTCTGGCTCGACTCTAAACTGCTTTAGTGTGTTGAACACACAGTCTTGAACAGGTTTTCCAAAGAAATTCTCTGTTCTGACAGCTTCTCCAGCCATGGATCTGAGGCTATTCCTCTTTTTGAACCCCTCAATCATTCCCATTTAGTAGTAAAGTTAAATCTCAGACTTGTAATCTAAACTCTAAAGCAAAATTGGGAAATAATGTGAATTCAGAAACCCCTACAAGAAATGCAAAGTATCTGGCATCCAGTTGGCTTCATTAGCAACTGAGTGGCCAACATATCTTAAAATCAGCACTCTGAAAACCATACACAGCTAACAAGAGATCAAAACTCCAGAAATCAAATGTAACTTCAGTGGTCTGCCTTTTCTTCTCATTACAGAACAACTGTTTGTTATTTTTCATTAAAGTGCTGCACATTTTTGTACAATCAGATATTTGGGTGGAAAAAGTGTCATCCATAACAAAGAAAAGCCACGCTCTTCCCCAATTATTTGCATTCCCTGCTTCCAGAGCTTTTAAGTCGGGGATTCTTTCCCTTTCATCATTCTTCCCCGGACAGAACAATCACTGAATTAATTTCATCCCTTAATCCCTTTACTTAGGTTCTGCAGCAACAATTCTCAAAGTAAAACAATCAGTTTTACTGCCTCTAGTTAAGGAACAGCTGCATCTTTAGGGTGATCTCTGGCAAAACAAGCAGCCACATTTTTTTACAGATTTACACTTCTCATAACCTCAGGGGCAGAAAACTTTGCCTTTCTGCCACTTCATGTTGACCACAGGCATGGGATACAGCACCCTACTCCTGCATTTATGTCCATCTTTTCCCAGGAGGAGTTACTACTGTTTGCTTCTTTATCTTTGTAGGATATATTTCTTTAAAAAAATTTTGGCCTCTCTCCCCAGACAGGGAAAATCAAGGGGATGACCCATAAGCCCGAGCAATTCACAGTAAGACCATAGTGTATCCCCAGAAAGTAAGCTAGTTTGCCATACTGTGCTTCAATCCAAAAAGCAATATATACTGCATGAGATTATTTTTTTCCTTATTTCCTTGGCAGTCTGGCAAGTTGAGTGGTCTCTCAGCAGTGCTTACCAGCCAGATCCTAACTGCTACCTGAAGTTCTTTTGGCTCATTTCCCTCCACAGATTGAAACAAAACAATTCAGCAACTGTGTTTACTCTTTTCTTGCTGCCACACTGATGTTTATTAAGCACTTCCTGCAGTGTGCCCAGTTTGCTGTCCAGGAGTCAACAATATCTCCGATGGGAACTAATTTATGAAATGTATTGCATCTCTACAAAGCTCCTGTTCTGTCATCAATGAACATGAAGAGAAAAAAAAAATGTTGAATAGTGAGGGAAAAAAAAAGTGCCTTTCAGCTTTGGCACTGCAAACTTTTTTCATCTTGCAGTCAAAACAGAGACAGATTTATTGATTAAAGTCTAATCTCTATTGGTCACAAAACAGCTTCAGAAGCCATCAGGCACAACTCTCTGTGGCTGTTTTCCAGGCTTTTCTTTCCCATTGATATCTTCCAGAGAAACATATGTTAACATCACAGAGCAGGTGCTCATTTCAAACTGGAAAGCCAATTTTAACTACGTGAATTGTACGCTAAAATAAATATATATTTAAGTTTTATACATTTAACACTTCCTACAGGGTGCTCATGTTTGGGACTTCTAAGGTTTCACAACTTCTGCTTTCCTAGTGGCTGACAAAAGAATGTATTCCTAAATCAATAAACATCTAAACAATTCACATCAACAAAATCTTGAAGGAGAGGAAAACAAAGTGAAGGGTAGCAGCAATGAAGGTTGGTGGGAAATTTGCTCACAGAATCACAGAATGGTTTGGGTTGGAAGAGATCTTAAAGATCACCAAGTTCCAACCTCCCTGCCATGGGCAGGGACACCTTCCACTAGACCAGGTTGCTCAGAGCCCCATCCAGCCTGACCTTGGACACTTCCAGGGATGGGGAATCCACAGCCTCTCTGGGCAACCTGTGCCAGTGCCTCACCACCCTCACAGGGAAGAATTTCTTCTGAAAGCTTTATCACTTCTGTTCATTATTTCACTGTTAACGTAAAGATAACGCCATTCAAATATTTGGTCTGGGAGATACAACACAGGTATCAGGGCTATGCCACGTTCCATATGTAAAAAGATATGTAAAGCATAGCTGAGATCACCAGGAAAACGGAGCCACCTTCACTCCAAGATCACCTTGCTGTGCTGCCCTCAGCTCAGAAATCCTGATCCAGTAAATTGCCTTCAGGTACAGGAAAAGTTGTGGGGGATCCCAGAACCTGTATATATGGTTTCTGTAAGACAAAACAAGCACACAGAGAAATCCAAAGCCACAGGTCTTCCAGCTCTGCCTCCTCCTCGCCCCTGGGTGCCTGACACGGGACTCAAGGCAGACCAACTCTCCTTTCCTCCCACTTTTATTTTTGCGGGAGAAAAAAGCCCAAAACCCAACAAACAAACGAACAAAAACCCAAACCAAAACAAATCTAAAAAAAAAACCCCCAAAAAACACAGACAACCCAGGGTTGCTGGGTTGACTATTTCACTAAACTCCTTCCCCATCCTCGAAACATCCTGGGGGAACCACAGGTATTTCCTTCCCCCTGCCCGTTCCCAGCGATGCCCTCAGGCAGCGCCTTCCCGGCCGCTCCCACCGAGCGCCGCAAGATGGCAGCGCCGGCCGCCGCCGCCCTGCCCGCCCGCAAGTGCCTATCCCCGGTCTGCCGGGAGCCGCCAACCTTTAACCATTCTGTGATTCTGTGAGCACGATCAGCTGCCCTACCCTGCCCTGCCCTTCCCCTCCCGCGGCTCCGGTGGGGAAGGCGGTGAGAGGGCGAGAAGGGCTGGGGAGGCGGGGAAGGAAGGAAAATGGCCGCCGCTGGTGGGGAGGGAGGGCGGCCCCCCAGCGCACCTGAGGGAGAGGGGCCGCGCGTGGAGGAGCGTGTGGGGCAAAAGTCCAGCGGGCGGGCAGTATAAGGTGAGAAAAAGAGAAGGGGGCAGCAACAAGGGAAAACAAAAAATGTGCTTGTGAGGCTGGCCAAATGTCCAAGACCATCCAAGGGGACTCACGAGTCCGTGTCCAGCAGCCTTGTATTTTCCAGCGGGCTTCAGCCACACCTCGTCCAGAGCAGCTTCCCTGACATTCCATACAGAGACTGGCTTCCAACCCCTTAGCGCGCGGATAAAATAGGCTCTGGTGGCTGTAATTTAATTTTAATCCCTTCACTAGTTCTTGGTGTATTTTATGATGCAAGAGACCATTAGAAGTAATGAAAAACTGAAATAAAGGTAGAAGCTTCAGAAAGTATGACAGAAGTGGTAGGGGAGCAGATGGGCTCTGGTCGGGCTGATGGGAAATGGGAACACTAGAAAAAGGTGAAGGCATTGATTAGTAAGAGATGAGCACACTCCCTCACAAATAATTTAAGTATGGTAATAACCTAATTACCTTATGTACATTAAGAATGTTTTAGTTTGTGATAGTACACAGGAGAGGTCTGCTCAAAAATGGTGTTCCTGGCTGCAACCTGAAGCTGGGAGCTCCACATCCTCCTTACCCAGCCCAGGGATAAATATTCCCTTTATTTGTTCTCAACGTGCCACTGCCACCATCTCTTACTGCCGTTCTTTGCACATTTGTTTCGATCCTTATTTAGTTGTGGTTGCTTGCCTTGAACATCTTAAGTGTGATAAATTGAGAAAATAATTCGAGTTGATTAAGAGGAGACAGTGAAGGGTCAATATGACCTGGAGAGAAAAGAAAAACAAGTCGTAAAACTTAATTGGGGCCCTGTGAAGAGATAAAACAAGTTACCTCCCTTTTTACCTTGTGTAGGATTTATAGTGAGACAATTTTGTTTAGTTAGATAGATAATAGGACCTTTCTTGAAATTTATAACAATTTTGTTTAGTTAGATAGATAATAGGACCTTTCTTGAAATGTATAACTTTGTAGCAAGCAAACATCTGCAGAGTGTCTGATTTGCCAATATATTATGGATGCTAGATAATAGGACCTTTCTCGAAATTTATAACTTTGTAGCAAGCAAACATCTGCAGAGCTTCTGATTTGACAATATACTATGAATGCTTATAGATAACATTCTTGTTAAAAGAAAACATCTGTTGAATGTCTGACTCAACAATGTGTAATGTTTATGCTTATGTATAATGAATATTCATGAAGTAGCTGGAAATAAATGTAGGACAACTATCTTCTTTGGGTGTGACAGGTGTTGGGAGTTGTTGAACCCCTTCCCTGTTCACCCAGCGCTGAAATATTTGCTTTTATCATATAATAAAACTCTGATTGGAAATTGCCCGATTGGGTCTCTGTTTTTCTCGATCCTTATTTAGTTGTGGTTGCTTGCCTTGAACATCTTAAGTAAAATAATTTAATCTGTTGACTGCAAGAGGCCCAAATTTCTCTGAGTCCTTGTAATTCACGTTGCACATAAAGCGACCCAGGCCCCGGTCCGGATGCCTGTTTGTTGCCATCAGGCTCGAGCACATCCTCAGTTGTATAACCTGACACAGACGGAGTGTCCTAGTATCGTATGGCCCCTGCCAGGTTACATAAGGTGACACACCATCTGCACTGACATCTGTGACCTGATGCAGGTGGCATCACTCTGTAGCACTTTTTAAGAAGGGGAAGAGGCTCCTTACATCCCACATCCTTTTTTTCGCTTTTAATCTTGATCACGTTAGCACAAGGCATTCCTGGTGACTCAGCAGCGGCCTTCATCTGTCACCAATACTAGCAGGAGTGTCAGGATATATATGGTGGAAATAAACATCACAGATTTGCTGATGTGGAAGTAATTTGAGGGCCAACATCAGAGGCATTTTTCCGTCAAAACTTCAAAAGTTGTCAAGAGAGAAAACTCAGGGTGACTTGAAGACTTGAAGATAAGTGATTTTAAATAGCAGATATGAAATGCTATTTTACTTGCCTTCTACTTCATTAGTCTTGACTGATCACATTTAAAAGCTTTCCAATAACAAGAGTAAACAAAGTTTTGTTTTATGGAGAGTGTAGGTTTGTCAAGTATTATGTTACAGCCTGTTCTAGACCCATGGTGTTCAGAAACATGGAATGGAAGGGAAGGTGATATATATTGCTTTGGGGGTCACCATGGTGTGTGGAGTCCAAGAATGTGAAGAAAAATAAAAAAGAATTATGCTTGGGAAATTCGGAGACACTCTAACACCCTGAGATGGCAGGAGTATGATTAATCCTGTGTGGATGGAGGAATGTATGTGCTAACTCTGGCTGAGACATTTCCAGAAGTATGAGCTGAGACTTGACCTTGAGTCCTAGTCAGAAATAAGGTTAATTTGTAGGGGCACTGGTTTTATGCCCCTTATTGAATAAACACTGAGATGAATAAAACCTGTAGCAAAGCACTAGGTCTCACAGGCCTGGGGATTCAGCATCTAAGAATCCTCTGCAGTATTTTTGAAGTGGAATTTTTTTCTTTCAGTAACAAAGGAACTTCGCTCAGCAGAGGGAGGACAACGTGCAGCTGTTATCAGTGTAACTCACAAGGGCTGGATCGTGCCTGGAGAGCATGACCCTCCCACAGCAGGAGATATCACTCAGGCCCAGGGCAGGCAGAGTCTCCAACACACCCAGAGTTACAGTCAGCAGCCTCAATCAACACCCCACAGCTCCCAGCCCCGTCAGCTGCTCACAGACACACCACATGTACATGCACTGCTGGGATTACTGGGAGTGTGGGTGCCTCCCACCAGTGGCGACAGGGAGGGATTTTATTCCTAGGTGTTTTAAAAAAAAAAAAAACAACCAAAAATCACACTGCAAATTCATGTGAGAGCATCCCCATCTGCATCATGTGAGTCTCATCCCACTGCATCTGAGAGAGAGCACTGAAAAAGAGACAGGAAGCTCAGGGCTCCATTTCACAGTTTGTGAAACATCAGGGAAAAAGAAACTGATTCCGGTTGTGTCACTGAAAAATTATTTCTCTCTTTTCTGCTTTTCACAATGCTTCTTTTACCTCTTTGCTTTTCAGGCTGCAGATCAAGGTTTCCATCAATAGAGAAAAGGATGGTGTAGAGAGCCCAGCATATCACGATTCAGTGCAACAGAGAGACAGGGTCAGTTATTAAACCATCGTCAGCCTGCAGGGTTTTCAGCATTTGGTAAGGAAAGCTGTTGGAAAACTACTTTCTCTCCTGTAGCATTAAGTGAACATACATACTTTTGTATTTTTTAGCATATTTGTAGTTGAGGCCATTGGGCAAACACCCACAGCCTGGTGTCCCTACAGATTCTGGCCCGTCTGTATCAGTTCCCTGATCCTGCAGGATCTTAACTCCATAACCTGTATAAAACCAGTACAAAAATATATATAAATACAAATATTACTACTACAGCAGGAGTGAGGTAGTCAGCTATATCACTACTGCTAAATACTTTTCCTTACTAAACACCAGATCAGCAGAGCTCTGATATGAAGCCTTATCTACAGGAGGAAAATGTAGGGATTATAAAGTTTGTACCTCGTCACCAAGAGTCAACCTGAAAGTACAACTATGCAAATTGAAGTAAAAAAGGAGTCATGAAGCTCAACATCCACTGGCAATGATTCACACTTTTGTTTACACTTCGAAAATCCTCTTTGCCTTAAATTTTCTCTTGGGGACGTGTGTTTTTACAGGACAGTTTCTCACTTCTTCTCCTGCCCAGAACACAGCTAGTCAAGCAAAGGCTGTAACTCATCAAACCTTCCCAAGTATATAAAAGGATTAGATAAGGGTGTTATTATTGGGTTTGTCATTTCTGGAAATAATGCATCTTCATTACACTGGAATAGCTTACTTTTTCTAAGATCTTACACAAGACAAAGCGTTGATTTCTACCATGATGCAGGTAAGAGAATTCAAATTTAAATGGGAAGTATAGGTCAGGATGGAACAACAGTCATGCTGAAGTAAAAGCTCATGAATCATCTCCAGTATGTCTTACACAGTGTCAAAGCATTTTTTTTTTAATATGAAGACAGAGTATTTGTTATTCATGCAGAAATTCCAGATAAAAACCAAGGGATTGTCAAAAATCCATTTTATCCTTTCTGGTGGTGATGGGAGATTTTATAATGCTCTAAAAGGGCCATTCAGTGCCTTGGCCACTGGCTTTCATTTCACAACAAATGTAAGATTCCACTTCCTCCATTTTAGGTAGCCCAGTGTTTTAAGTAAGAGACTGTAAGGAGAAAGGGAAAAGAACAAATGCAAACACACCTCATCTGAATAGCTCCATAGCCCAGTAGAATGAAATATGTCAGGCCAAACCCAATTCCTGTTTTCTTCAGTACTGAGTTTTAGAGGTAAAACATAATGGTTCGTTATTTTTATTGGATTAGAAGGCAAGTGATTTTCTGTATGTTCTCAAAGCCCCTTGAATATATTTTTAAAAAATCTTAATAAAAATTAGTCTTTTTAATATAGGCAAGTTTCAAAATACTTCAGTAAAAGAACAGCAGCAGATGGAGATCCTGGGGATGGATACTAAAATATTACAAACTCCATCCCAAAAGAACACGTAGTATAAGGCAGAGTCTTTAAATGATAGCACAGCCCTTCACCATCACTTGCAGGCACAGGAAATTAAAGAGCTGGAATTGAAGCTGACAGGCAGAGCCAAGCATAGAGCTGCCTGCAGCAGGTTATTTCCTTGGTGTCATTGCCTGCAGACTCCTGTGATCCATCCATCTATGGATCTGCTGCCGGCTCACGACCTGGAGCTGCTTTGATGCTGCAGACCCCGAAAGGCAGGGGTTCACGAGCGGTCTGCCAGCAAGGCTGGTTTCCAGGAGCAGCCTGGCAGCTCGGGCAGGGCAGTGGGAACGAGCTGCCATCGTGGCTGCTCCAGCTTCTGGGACAGCTTTAGTGTCTCATGGAAGCGAGACCAGGCAGAAATTGTTGGCCGTTCTTTACAATAATCTGCAAAGGGGAAACTGATTTTCCTCTTCTTGCAATATCCTCCTCTCTGCTGTTGTCAAAGAAAATACTTTGCCAGAGCACAACTTAGGTTGCTTCCTAATCCCTGTCCGAGAGCCGCCAGGCTGTGGGGACGGGCAGGGAGGGGAGCACAGCTCTCTTCCCTCAGCACCCTGTGTGGAGCTAAACCACGCTGCTGTCTCTGCCAGGCAGGGCTCACAGGCATCTCCCCAGCGTGGAGGACCGTGGGGAGCCCAGCAGCAGTGAGGGGAGGAGGAAGGAGGAGCCACCATCAAATGGACACTTCACGTGTTAAACTTAGCTCAAAGCTGAAGGCAACACACTCGTAACAAGTTTGCCTCAGTCTGGCATCTAGACTAAAATTAATCAAATATCTGCTTGTATCTCATTTTATGCCTCCAGTAAGATTAAAAAAGAGATACAGAAAGGCACTTTTACATTTACTCAAAACCAGAAAATACAGTTTTCATGGAAAGGAAAAGCCTTTCTGGAGACTGAACTGGGCTGATGGAAGAGGTTGTTCTCAAAAGTTTCTGATATGAAGGGGTTTCCACCATGAAATGAGCTGTTAAATAAATACCCATCAAAATACCAACACTTTTTTTAAAGCTACCTGGCTCTAAGGCTTAAAAAAAAAAAAAAAAAAGATAAAGTGGTGATGTTCTACCACAGATACCTGTTCATCTGTGAAGGATGATAAGGGAAAAACATCTCTCAAAAGCTAAACTTCTCCTAATGGTTCTCCTCATAAATGAAGGAGTCTGTTTCATTCAGAATTTTTCCTAAATTTAGTCTGGCCTGAAACCAAGACACAATTTCTCCACTGACTTCATGAGATTTCCTGCCAATTAATAGCACAGCATACCCAATGAGCATTGAGAAGTCTGAGACACAGTTCTCTGGAATTCTTCAGACTCCATGGTCATGCAAACACCCTAGAACAACTCAAGTGTCCCCTGCAAGCTCTTGGTTCCAGAGGATTTAAGAGCTGGAAGTGTGGGTGAAAACCTAGGGATGTTTATGTTGTCTCTTTAGGAATCACACTGATTACAAGTAAGTTTAAAAACCCATTCTATTTTTGAATTAGAATTTTGATGCTGGGTATTGCCTGGATCCTCATGTCTTTCCCAGTGGACTGGGGCTGCCCAAGACCACTTGCTCCAGCAGCACTTTCTCCTCCTCAGAACCTTGGAGGAGTCTCTGGGACAACCTTCTGACCAGACATGCTGATACAAAGCTACCATTCCACTCTTGCTTGAATCTCAGCAGTTCTCTCTCCTGGTCCCACAGAAGAGCATTACTACTTATAAAAAAAAAAACAAATAAAACATAATTGACCCAGGCAGGCTCAGAAAAGCTTGGACAAAACTCACAGGAGGAGGATTACACGGATACTCTGCAGCTGGAACCAGGCAGCCAGAAGTGATGAGCCAGCACAGCAGAAGGGTTGAGCAGGGATCACCAGCTCAAATGCAAGGTACAGCAGGATGGAGAAAGTGAGTATGTGTCTGCTTGGTACCTGCCATAGTCAGTGGGGGGGCCCAGGAGAGGCAGAATTTGAGAGAGAGAGGAACACTGTAGGCAAACCGTTGGAATTGGCAGCTGCTTTGCACAGATCCCTTCTGAGAACATTTTAATTCCCTGGTTTTACGAAACGCATTTCCCCTTCCTTTGTTGCGCACGTTGTTACACCCAGCAGCCCTGCCAGCTCCTGTGTGAGCGAGCGTGGGGGGCTATTGCTCATTCCGAGCCATATGCTTCTGTCAGATGTTTACTTGCACGAATGACAAGTCGTTCTGAGCCTTTGAAAAGCTACGGGAGGCATCGCTGTTCCCCACTCCCACCTCATTCCTGCAGCCACAGCCTGTGCTGCAGGCGAGGAGCAGGCAGATCCGAGGCAGGCAGGGAGAAGGGACAAGACTCACAGCACGGGCAGATGTGGGCCATGGAGCAGCCCCCCTAAACTGGGAAGGATGATATCCTGGAAGTAACATAACCCCTCAGCAGTTACAGAAGCACCAGTCACTCCAGACAAGATGATGTTCCTTTCTGTGAAGGAAAAGCTAACGAGGAAAAGGAGAGCAGTGAGTGCCTGGCACTTCTGCTACTGCCGCTCTCTGTTGAACTATCAAAGGCTTTTTAAAACCTCTGCAGTTAAGATCTTGTATCCCCTTAGTGCCATTATCCCTAGGTGCAGTGAGGCAAATTAAGTTTAAAGGTAATGCTTCCATTTTCTTTGTGTTTTCTTTTAAAGAGTAAAGGCCCTATATAACTAAATATATTAAAATATACTTCTAATGTCCAGGTTACTTACTGGCAAGTTTGGATGCCCACAAGACCTTAAAACAAAGAAATTCTGTGCCACAAGCAGACAAGGGAAGAACTGCTCCTCAGAGAGAAGCTGATGAAAGGGACAGCTGTAATATAAAAATTTGAAGGCTCTCACAAAATGAGATGTTCACTTTGTGGCATATCCTTGGCACAAGCTCTATTGGTGATAGTGTTTCTTTTCTAAGATGTGCTTAACTCCTGAAAAGAGTCTTGGAAGCTCTTATTTGATCAAAGACTGGTCTTACCCAGCAGCATCACCATGAAAAAGAGGAAGAATTTCTACTCTTCTAAGGAAAACCACAGGTTTTTGCTTTTCTTTGTCGTGAAGAGCAGGTGGAGGTTACGGTATCTTAAGTGGTTTGGGGGGTGATGGAAAGTGGAATAGATCCCTCTGATAGTCTGGTCATCCCAGTGTCTGTACATTAGAATACTGCTAGTTATTCTTGAGATCCAGTAAAGCAGATATTTTCTAGCAATTTATGATCTGGTAGATGTTGCTCCCAGCTTTCAGGAGATTCCGTTTTCTACAGATATATCAACTGTGCTAAGAGCTTTGTTTTTATAACACCTCAGGGGAAGGTAATCCATTTTGCATCTTCTTAAACTGTCCCTCTGCCTTTCCATGTCCTAGTGTTCTCTCCATGATTTTACACTGCTTTATCTTCTTTGCTTACAAGTGCTCTACTTCTCTTATCTTGGAAAAGATTGCCCTTCCTTACACTCTACCTGTCTGACTTTCAATAAATTGGCTGGTGACTCCATGACAACAGAATTGATCATCTCTCCTCAAGCTGTCTCCACAGGTCACAGGCAATCTGTCTGTTTGTGGGACCTTGTCTTCCCTGACA